GCAGGTCCTCACGCGCCGAGGGTGGGAGCCGTGGACATCGCGGGCCGCGATGGTCCCGACCGCGAGGTCCTTCCTCCTGCCCCTCGACGAGTCCACGCTCATGGACACGCTCTCTGCGCTGAGCGTGGACCGCGCCATCCGCCGGTACTTCTGTGCGACGACAGCCGACTGGCCGCCGACGGACAAGGCGATTCTTCTCCGAGCTGCGCGTGCCACCGACAACGTACACTAGCCCCGGGCTCGCGGAGAAACACTTTCGAAGCATTTTCAGGCCGCCAGCGTCGTGGCTGCCGACCCGCCGCGCGCCGACCGCGAGACTAGCTGGGTCCACTACGTCCACGGCGGCGGGCGGGCGCCCAAGAGAGCTGTCGCCACGGTGCGCGCGGCGGGGCGCCAGCCCCACTGCAACCGCACATGCGGCCTCCATGGCGCCACAGGCGTAATATGTGTGACGCACTCTCGGGCCCCCATCAACGCATCGGCCAGCGCCGAAGTCCCTGAAACGCAAACCTACTGCGCCCCCCGTGCAAGCCGCGCACCCGCTCCCAATGCTCGTGCACACCAGCTTTTCTGCCCGCCCTCAACAGTTCAATTGAGCGCCCATGTGTTACTTGGGCTCCTCAAGCCCTCGAAAAGTCCTTGGGAAACTTCTGCGAATGCGCGCGCTGCGCTCCACAATTCGGCGTTCTATTTTTCTTTGGAACTCTCCCAGAATCTCTGGTTCCGATTTGCCCCGATCTTCCGCTCAACTGAATAAGAACATTCGAAAAAGGAACATATTTTTATCTTTTTAATACCTGGACCCCCCCCCACCCCCCCCTAAACCGGACCACCACCGCCCAGGACACCCCAGACGCCCCTGCCCTCCACCCAACGAACGCCCTGGACGCCCTTTCGGAGTCCCGGCGGCCTTCCGGACAGTTGGACGCCCCTGCCGATCGTGGGCCCAAAACGAGCCCCAAGACGGCCCATCAGCGCTCAAAGAGGATGTAATATGGTTTCAACACGGTCCACGAGGCCCCCAAGACGGTCCAAGAGGCCCCAAAAGGGGCCCCCAAGAGCCAAACATCGTCCTATTCCCTGAGGAAGCGTGCGGTTTTGAAGATATTGGCTTATTCTGCTTTCACAGCGTCCACGGCATCACCACAGACTTTCAAGATCGCCCCATGGACGGCCTCCGAGGCCTCCATGAATGACCCACGGCGGCCCAAAGGAGCTCCAAGACGGATCAAGAGAAACCCAAGGCGGCCCAAGAGGGGCTCTAGAGGGCCCCGAGAACTCCCAAGAGAGCCCCAAGAGAGCCACACGAGGCCCCCAAGAGTGTCCCAAGAGGGCCCCCGAAAAGCCCCTGGCCGGCCCGGCCTCCCAAAACGGCCACAAGAGGGTTCCGGGACGGCCCAAGCGGGCTTCAAGACGGCCCAAAACAGCCCCCAAAAGAGTCCTCTGGTCCGGAGAGTCACCAGGAGCTCAAACGCGAGCCCACACCGTTCCAATATAGCTTCCAGCAGTTCTCTTACACACCACGATGCCGTATTTCGCAGGACGCCGGTTCGAATGGATCTCAGAAGCCCCACAAGCCTTCCAGGACCCCTCCAGGCATTCAGGATGCGACCAATCGTCGTCGCCGCCGTCGTCGTCGTCGTCGTCGTCGTCCTACGGAGGAGCAGGAGGTCCCGGCCTGTCAAAACGGGGCTGCCGCCTCATTATTGCGTAGCTCGCTCACTCACGCCCACAGCGCTCGCTCCCGCGGCCTGCCTGAGAGGAGGAGGAGGAAGCGGAGGAAGAGGAGCAGGACGACCAGGAGGAGGAGGAGGAAGAGGAGGAAGAGGAGGAAGAGGAAGAGGAGGAGGAAGAGGAGGAAGAGGAGGAGGAGGAAGAGCAAGAGGAAGAGGATCGCACGCCACAGAGGGGCAAGAGGAGGAGGAGAAAGAGGAAGAGGAAGAGGAGGCGGAGGAGGAGGAGGAGGAGGAGGGGGATAAGGAGGAAGAGGAGAAGAGGAGGAGGAGGAGGAGGAGGAGGAAGAGAGGAAGAGGAGGAGGAAGAGCAAGAGGAGGAGGATCGCACGCCACAGAGGGGCAAGAGGAGGAGGAGGAAGAGGAAGAGGAGGAGGAGGAGGAGGAGGCGGAGGAGGAGGAGGAGGAGGAGGAGGAGGGGGATAAGGAGGAAGAGGCGGAAGAGGAGGAGTTTTAAACTCGCGCGCTCAGGCATGCACGTGGGCGCCCCTGGTCTCGGCACCCTGGCCGAGCGCACTAGCAGCACGCTCGCGGCAGGGTGGGCCAGCGGCCTCAGCGCGCATCCTCTCTAGCGGCAAGCGGGGGCCAGCAGGCTGATGTCTGCTGCCAGTGCACCCGCCTCCGCTGCTGCTCTCCCTGGCGGCAGGCGACGATCAGCAGGCTGACGGCTGCTGCCAACACTACCGCCTCCGCCGTCTCTGGCCGCTGCTCCGCGGGATCTCCATCGCGTTCGCGGCCTGCGCCTTCTCAGCGTCCTTGAGCAGGAGCCACTCTGGCTTGCCCCTACTGGGCCACTGCTTGCGCTTCGAGCCCTCCGCCTTTTGCTCCTCCTCGGGCCGGGCGTGGGTCTTCCACTTCTGCTGCCCTGCGAACTCGTGCTGAGCCCCATCCGTCTTGGGCTGCCACTTTGTCGCGCGCCTCGGCGCGCACCAGCTGGGGGTTGTTTGTGCGGCCCCCCACCGCGCATGGACCGTCTGCGCGTCGCCGTCGCTCTGCTCCGTCTCGTGGGCGCACTGGGGACGGCCCTGGTACTCCTCGATGCTCAGCTGGTTGCCGAGGGCCACCTGCAAGTACGCGTCCACGGTGCGCACCTGGCCGTCCTCGATGCTCTCCTCTGCCTCCTCTAAGTAGAGCTTTCTGCCCTGGCCCTCCGCGAAGCTCCGCGTGTGGCCCTCGGTCCACTGGGCGTCGCCGTCGTTCTGCTGCTCGACGTTGCGCGACTGGCCCTCCCCGCCGTCGATCTCGCCCTTCTTCTGCAAGATGTCCAGAGCGGGGAAGGCAGGGACCTCCACGAGCGGGGCGAGCATGTGCAGGTTGTCCAAGGCCTCCTCGAGCTCCTCTATCTGCTTGCCCTGCTCATCGATCACGTTGGCGAGGTCGCGCGTCTCGGTCTCCATCTGCTTGATCCGCTGCTTGGAGTCGTCCAGCATCTCCCCAAGGACGTGCATTTCCTGGTCCTGCTGGCTAAGAGGCATCAGGAGCTCCGCGTTCTGGGCCACCAGCTGGGCCTTGATCCGCACTGCCTCCAACAGCTCGGTGGCCTTCTGCTCCATGGACTGCTTGTGCTCCGCCTTTGCCGCCTCCAGCTCCAGCATCTTCTCGCCCAGCAGCTCCTGCCAGGAAGACTTCTGCTCGAGCTTGCTCTCATTCTCCCTGGGCCCCTGCGCGCTGGAGTCCGCCCCCTCGCGCACGAGCTTGGACATCCCGTGGGCCTCTCCGCCAGCACTGAGCCACGCCCGCGCCTGGTCGAGGGCTTCATCGCCCATGCCCGGGTGGCGAAGCAGGCTCGCGGCGGTGTCAATGCCCTCGCTCGAGGTGCGGTGGAGGCCTCCTCCCCTGGTCCCTGAGCTTCTCCAGCCCTTTCGCCAAGGTGCTGCCGCCCAGGGCGGCGACGAGCTCAGCGCCACAGCCGACGAGGCGCTGCGCGTGGGCTCCGAGGCAAAGGCGTCCCTCGCCCTCCTGCCCGCCTCCCGCGCGCGTGGCCGCCTCGGCCTGCGCCTCCGCCGCCACTGGCGAAGGCTCCGCCGACTGCCCCTTGGCCTGCAGGAGCAGCATGAGCTCGGCGGCCTCGCCCACAGTGCCCACAGACGCGAGGGCGGCACCGTGGCGGACCGTGGGCCCGCGGCGCCCGCCTCGCCCCATCGCACCGCCAAATGCCGCGCGCCAGGGGGCAGCGCGGCCGTGGCGCTCGCGAGGGCGCCTCCGCGCGGGTCCCAGCGCCTGCCAAGCCCCTGAGCCAGAATGGCTACGGGGCGGAAGAGGGGGAGGAGGAGGAGGAGGAGGAGGAGGAGGAGGAGGAGGAGGAGGAGGAGGAGGAGGAGGAGGACGACGACGAGGAAGGGCCAAATTTCTGAGCGTTTTTGGTACCCTTCCCTCCCCACTTCTGCGCACAGGCGTGCACGCCCATCGGGCGAGCGCAGTGTTAGCAAGGTCCAGGGATAGCAAAAAAATGAGCCAGTCGCCCGTCCAGACCTCGACGCCCCCTCTGCTGAAACACGCGATGACTTATTTTTTTCCGAGAAGCGTCCGGAACAAGGCGCATGGCGCGAAGCGCCAATGCAGTCTTGTATCTGTATATATATATAGAATTATATATATACATATAAATACATATATATATATACACACATAAATGTACCGATACCGCTACTCCACTGACCTCTCCCAGGGTGCGTCCTGACAAGACTCTCGAGGCGGATCTAGCCGTGGCGACGAGGGCCTCTCAGGAGACCCCCAAAAATGCCAGACCAATGGAATGGTCGCAGTATCGATGCCTTCTTGCCTCCTCGGAACTCTAAGAAGCGCCCCAAGCTTTCGGGTCATATAACTCGGCTCCCCGACGGCCGTTCGAGACGCTCCGGGCATCCCCAGAACGCTCTCTTGGTGAGGCACAGCTGCCGGAAGGCATCCCGAGGCTGAACCACCGCCAAAAAACAAACGGAAGGGCCCGAAAAAACGTCCGACGGCAGCGACCGAAACACGAGGCAGAGCCGACGAGGAAGCGTCCGAAAACGCCCGACGCCGACGAAGACGTCGGGGCCGCGGTGTCAGTGCCTCTCCTATAGAACATGAGATAAGCGCCATAGACATAGTTAACCTGTCGGCGCCTCGCGGATTTCTTGGATCTGCGCTGGACGCCGCTCCCTGGCGCGCGGAGCGCGCCAAGGGCGGCGCCGCAGACGCCGCCCAGGGGGGGCCCAGCGCGGAGCGCCAAAAGTTTATGTCTTTGGCGTTGTTTCGTCTTCGACCTTCCTCCCCTATGCGCTCCACGGTGCCCTCCAGGTGCCCACTGCTCGAGCAGCCGCCGCAGCTGCCGCAGGTGTAGTGCGTGCCCGCGCGGGCGGTCTTGTCGGACTTCTCCATGACGCAGCCGTTCGGGCACCGAGGCGCCTCGCCTCCCCCGCTCCCGAGGGGCTGGGCCGTGTCCAGCCTCGCCTGGACGTGGGATGTTCCAACCTACTGTAGCCTCGATCGCCAGGAACAATCGCGAGCACCAAGAATAGAAAACCAACGGCGTAAGCAGAAACTTTGCTTTTTGGCGCCCCACACGGATTTCTTGGATCTGCGCCGGAGCCCCCTCGCTGGCGCGCGGAGCACGCCAAAGGCGGCGTCGGAGGCGCCGCCAGGGGGGGCCCAGCGCGGATCCAAGAAATCCGCGCGGAGCGCCAAAGTTTAATGTGTATGGCGTATTCTCTTCTGCGAAAGGAAACGAAACTGCAGGGCTTTTACGTCTCGGGCCCTGGAAGGCGATATACTCGTTCGGCACTCCGCCAGCGTGTCGGGCAGACGCTGCTACGATACTCTTCGGGGTGCTCGAAATCATTCCTGGGATGTGGTCCTTAAGTACATTGGGAACATCAGAAGCCTTGACAACGACTGCCATCTTGCAGCGGCGAAGGAACGTCGGGCAGATGCGGAGTCCTCGGCCACACGCATGAGAGGACGGGCTTCGGACTGCGCACAAGCAGCTCCCAGGGTAGCCCCGGCTGGCCTCAACAGGCTTCCCGAGTGGTCCCGGCTGGCCTCAACAGGCCCCCCCGAGTGGTCAGAGGTGGTTTCAACACCTCCACACCCTGGCGCCGTCTCCTGCAGCGCCCCAGGGGCGCCCCGGGCCACTCGGGGGGCCTGTTGAAGCCAGGTAGGGCTACTCAGCTACTCGGGGGGCCTATCAAGGCCAGACGGGACTACCCGTCGGTCGGAAGAAGTGGGTGGAAACATGAAGCAGGAAGGCGTTGAAAGTAGATTGGGTCTCCGCCTCCTGAAGAGAAGGGAGGAAGCAACGCACCGCTCGATCAGGGAAGTAGGAAGGCGCCAAGGAGTAGACTGGGATCTGGGAGTCCAAAACTACCCCCGTTCAAAGACCGCCGAGTGCCTGGGGGCGCTGCCTGTTTTTTGTTGTGGGGGCCTAATCTCGTGACGCGTTCGCTGCGTGCCAGCGCGTCGAGGTATACTGTTGCTTACGACCGGTGTTTTCATTCCCCGAGCGTGCGCCGCGGAGTTGATACGCAAGGCCTCTTTGTTTTGTCCTTTGGGCACTGCCTCTGTGCGTGCGTGTGGAAAAATATATCCTCCTCCTCCTCCTCCTCCTCCTCCTCCTCCTCCTCCTCCTCCTCCTCCTCCCCCCCACCACCACGCACGAATCGCCCTACTCATAGGAGCGCAGCCCGTGGAGAGCGCGGCCTGACGACCCGTTGCGCAAAGGCGGCGCCGCTCAAAGAAGCGGCCTGCCTGCTCGAAGCCCGCAACCCCCCCGAGAGCCGTGCAGCAGAGGGCACTCCGGCGAAGGGTCACGGAGGAGGAAGAGGAGGAGGAGGACTTGCGTGTGGCCGACATCCTGTGTACACTGGCGCGGCCTCCACGCCAGGCATTCCGAAGCGCATCGTCTGGACCCATTGGATGAAGCGCTCCCGCTTGTTGGTGGGAATCCACTGGAGCAGGTGGCCGTCGTCCCTCCCGCAGAACCCGATGGACGCCTGGAACCCCGTGGACACGTTCGCGACGCGGTAGGTCGGGCTCAGGCAATCGAACCACACCGCTATCAACGCCTCCGCCCCCTCACCGCAAGTACTGGTGGTGTCGGACCTGTCCGAGTCGCTCTCGGGCACCTGGCCACCAGGAAAGGGAACGGGCCCTGT